TAAAATTTATTTTTATGATTAATATTTTATTATTTACTTTATTTTTATATAAACTATTTATAATATATTTTAAATAAGGCAAAATTAACTTGGCGACCCATCACCATAGTAACCCTTAAGACTAACCAATCATGTTAAGCCTTATTATTATTACATTTAATTTTATTATATATATAAACTTAGAAACATATGACTACGTATCAATAAGGCAATAGCGAAACCATACAACATATGTATATGTAATACTTTCTTAAATTTATATTTTTCCTTTAAAGGAATTTTTACGCAAATTTAATCCTTCAAAGAATTCTATCTTCCCAATATGTACTTGATCATGTGTTATAGCATGATCTCGAAATAATGTGGCCTTGTCACTTTGTTGACAGTTAATTACTTATTACTGCTGGAGTGCATCACGATCAGAACGTAATATACATGCACATACATGTGTATGCTTTTTTATAATCAGAAAGTATACAGTATTTACTTTCAAGGTAAATTTTTATCATTACCATGTTTTTTAATTAAAGATTTTGCACTTGTTATATAACAAAATAAGATGGCAAAGTAGCACAACGAATCAAACAAAAAGTAAACCGATGAAACAAATGAAACAAACGAAAAGTAAGAATATTAAAGTTTTAGTCTAGATTTCGGTTTAGAAAGAGGAACAAGAAGAGAAAAAAAAAAAAAAAACAAGCGAATAAAAAGGAGTGACAAGAAAAAAAAAACAAGTGAATAAAAAGGAGTGACAAAAAAAAATTTTTTTGAAAATATTAAAGTCTTTTAAATTTCAAGTCTCTCTTTAGTAAAAAAAAAAAAACGATACATAGAAAAAAATTAGCGAAACGAAGCACATGCAAGAGTACAAAAAAAAACAATTTTAATATGAATGAGTCAGTTGCAGAACCTGAGGTATTAGATAGTCAAGCCACAGAACTTGAGATGTTAGATCATCAAAATGTGGAACTAGAGGTGCTAGCCGCATACGATAATATGGATGATCTTTCTGACATTAATAAGTAAGTAATAAAATTGCTTAAGTTTTATTTTTATGATTGGTCTCAGTTTTTTTCATTACAATTCTTTATTTAGTCTTGATGATGACGAAGGGCTTTTTGTCGGCAAAACTTTTGAGAACTGGGATCAAGTAGCCAACTTTATGAAAAAATATGCTGCTGCTAAAGGTCATGGTATACGAATCGGTGGTAGTGGAAGAGTAAATGCAGAAAATCAAAAAGTAGTAAAACGGACATATTTGTGTTACCATGCTGGAAAGCCAGCAGAAAAATTAAGTGGAGTATCTTGCTGAATAGGATGCCTCTGAAGAGTTAATTTTTGGTTTAAAAATAACAAAAATTGTCTGGAAGTTACAGCTTTTAATAACCAACATGTTGGTCATGAACTTAATCCTTTAGCGAGCTGTTTTGATCCAATGCTACAAAAGCTGCCAAAGGACATTGTTGAAGAAATTCATTTTTTAACAGTCATTGCAAAAGCAAATGCAACTATGCAGTATAGGATAATTCAAGAAAAATATAAGGTTAGGATATATCGACCAGATTTGTATAATACAATTCAGATGTTTTGGCGTGACTCAGTGCCAGGTAAAGATGATGCAGAAATGTTGTTAAAAAGGCTTAATGAAAAAAAAATTGAAGATCCACGATGGGCTGTTTCAATAGAATTTGACCCAGTCACTTCTTCCTTAACTCACCTTTTCTGGATGAGTCCAGAATAGCAAATCTTATGGCTACACTACCATGATGTGATAATGCATAATAATACGTGCAAAACTAATCATTATAATCATCCTTTGTCAATCTTTGTTGCACCTGATAATAATTTGAATACACGGATCATAACTCAAGCAATTGTTAATGATGAAACACAATCCTCATATGAATAGGTCTTTAATTGTATTTTAAATGCAACTGGTTTAGAACCAAAAGTCTTGGTAATGGATGGTGATCCGGCAGTTAATAGCTCTGTCATAGTGCAATTTCCCAATGCATTTCACATACATTGCATTTGGCACATAAGTCAAAATTTACCAAAAAATCTAAAAGGGATAATTGGTTCTAGTTATGATAATTTCATGAAAGACTTTTATACTATAAGGAATAGCCTCACAGAAGAAAAATCCAATAAAAGGTAAATATAATAGTACATTAATACTAAATCACACCAGTGGTGTTTGATACCACATCATCTTGCTAGTAATTTTTAAGATTAGGGATCGTAAGCTAAAGTAAAGTTATTTTAGTTAGATGAAATTATACATGGGTGTCTAAATTACTTCTCTTAATAAAAAATGACATCGACATATAGTCTGTCAAAATTAATTTTTCTTAGTGGTGAAATTAATTTTCATAGTTGAAATTTTTAGTAAAGTTATTTGAATTCTTTATGCCAAAATATATTAGCATTGTTACTTTGTGAAATTCATATAAACAAACTAGCAATGTCGAAATGTTTGTTGAAATTGCTTTTTTAAAAAAATAATCTAGACACTTATGTATAGGTGAGATTTTTGGAGGTCGAACACTTTGCTTAGTACTTACCACTAGTGCGATTTAGTAAAACCGTAATAGTATTATTGCTTCACAAAGATTTTGTAACATATTTTTTATTTATTTATAGATGGGAAAAATTACTGCATGATTATCCACAATCCAGTGATTATTTAATAAGGTCTTTAGGAAGTTGTACTAAATCATGAGTGCGTGCTTTTACCAGTAGATATTTCACAGCTAGTGTACAGTCAACCTCCCGTAATGAGGGTGAAAATTCAATACTAAAACGCCTCTTTGGAAGTTCAAGTCTTTCATTATGCGAACTATTTGATGTCTTAGAAGAAAGGTACCAAGAAGAAATCGATTATTGCAAGTTTGTAAGTTGGAAGCAAACCATGCCACAAGTAGGATCAAAAAATGCAGCACAAAGCATTTTCGAACCAATAATAAGACAATTGAACGAGTTTGTGATGCCAAATATAATGAAAAAGCAGGAAGAGCAAATGAACTTAAGTTTCTATTATCATGCCGTGGAGGTTGATCTTGAAGCCATATTTTCTAAAGAGAGGGTAAGATTTTCAGTCAATCTTCACTCGTCAATATGGGTTTTAACTATTCACGGCATAAACTGTAATAGTTTCGATTGCATCTTTGAGGCCGTGTTTACTGGATTTCTAGGGTTAATTATGGGCTGTCATCAATAGAAATAAGGCAGATTTATTAGAGAAATCTGTTTTATTTCTATTGATGATAGCAGATATAATGTGAAGGATAATTAGATTCTGTGCTTTTGCAATTTTATTAGGATAGATTATCAATAAGCTATTTTTTTACATTATTATAACGAATATCATTGGTTAATTATTTATTTCTTTTATTACATATTATTTTATGAAGTTGATGAATCAGAACAGTGTATTGACAACTTATTCGATTGCCTACAAATACAATTAAAATCACTTCTAAATGATTTTTTAACAATTCTTGAATCCTGGGAAGTTATGTACTTATTAAATTCTGACACTTCTCATTTTGTATATCTTTTGAATAATGGAACTTTCCTTTGCACATATATGCTTGAAAATTCTCATGGATATCTGTGCTGCCATTTTTACTGTATTATGACCTTAACTCCTACCGCAAGATTTCATATCAGTTTAGTTAATAGACGCTGGTACAAAGACATGTTACAAGGAGTCGATATAACAAATAATGAATTCATACCCATTTCTTCAAATGTATTGAAATCAACATCAAAAGTGCATCTTTTACCAACACAATTTTTGCATAACGGATTTGATGTTAATAGAGTTGAAGAATTTGTGAATAGTGTTTCAAGTCAATCGCCTAATAAAATATCTAAAACTATTTTGAAAAAACGCAAGTTTGGTGAACTTTGGGGATTAGGAAGAAAAGTAATGATCAATGCAATTGAGAATAACAATGAAGATATTTATCATGAACTACTTGGGTTTTTTACATCAATCCAAAAAAGAACATCGCAGAGAATTATTAATGAGTTTAGTGAATTTAACTATAATATTAACAATAAAGGTTGCATAATGGGTATTCAAAATCCTATTGAGAGAAGACCAAAGGGTCATCCTAAATCAAAAAGAATTGTAAATGCTCTTGAGAAATTTGATACAAAAATGAGTTACAAGTGCAAGTTATGCAAAAAAAAGGGTCATAATAGTAAAACCTGTAAAGAAAAAAAAAAATAAAAGCTAATGAAAACAAAACAAATGACGAAATTGAAAAGTAATTGTATAGTTACTTTCATGATTAGTTTGAGATTTTTAATGTTAACATTAAGAGGTTTTAAGCATTTAAAATTCTAAGAACAAATTGAGGATGTCATATGATCATCATGTGCATTATAGTTGCTAATTTGTTACATGAAATTCTGTTATAAATTCAAAAAAAAATATCAAGATTAGCTTTTATGCATTTAATTACTATTACGTATATTAATATACGCTTCTAACCAATGTGCCGATATGATTGTATAGTGAATGTAAGTAATAAAGATATACAGAAATATAAAGAATGACTCTGTATTTAATATGCCTACTTATTAATAAAATATTTATTAATTTAGGTCATGAAGATAGCAATAATGAAGAATCGTCGACCACATCTACAAGTCATGAATATATTCGAGAAATATCGGACACAGAAGAATCTAGTATTAGTTAATTTTTTTATAGTCCAATAACGAACATTTCACCAAGAATCGTATCAGAAATCTGATTACTTACATATATAATTCACTTTTTGGTAGGACCAAGTAATCTTATGGTGTTGATTTCGTCACCTATGCAACCAATTGATTTTCAAAACTATGAAAATACACAAAAAAATGTAGTGTTTGTCATAGAAAGGGTCATAATGCCCAAACCTGTTCAAATAAGATTTAGATTAATAAAAAATATGTAACTTTGACGTTGGGACCTGCAGAAATTGTTCAAACTTGTTTTTTTTTTCAATGTCTTATTTTATTTGTTTTTTAAGTAATTCTGTATAATGTAATAATCTGATATAGGTCTATATCCAAATATCAGTCCTGAGTTAATATAAAGTTTAGATATTGAATTTGGTTTGAGATCAAATCCGAATTTAAGAGTTCCAATTAGTCTTAATTAGTTTTAATCTACTGTTAATATGCTGATTAAGAAGCATTAATTATAATAGATTAAAAGCTAAGTTTAGCAGTGTTATGTTTTTTTTTTTTGCTAACTTTCAGCAATTTGTTAGTCAACCAACATGTAATCTAAAAGATTTAACAATCAACGAGGTGGGAAAGCAATTCACATACAGTTTAATTCTGTCAGATATAATGACTAAATTGAGCAATTTTCAATTATCAACAAATGCAATGATCCAGAATTAAGGAAAGTAATAATCACTTTATTATAATTTATATATTCACTTTTCTCACAAAAATCTGTTCTTAAATATGTTGTAGAAACAGAATTTAAGTAGATTTTGGGATTTAATTTCCACCAATAAAATCATGAATGAAGCGATCAAAAATAGAGCTATTAAATCTTAAATAAGACTCGTGATACTATAAACAGTGTTGAAAGCAAGAATTAATGCTTCTATTCTGTTAATAGGTAAATAATGATTTCTAAAACATTCTTCCGTATTATTCTTGGTAAATATAATATATTTCGTTAATATATTTTGAGTCGCAAGCTTAAGAAGTTTATCATTAATTAATATCAACTTTTAATGCAGGAATTAAAATCTATAAGAAATTATTTTGCGTAGATTTTGGTGAGTATGAAGGCCATTTGTTACATTTAAATCCACATTTGCATAAAGTTTATTTTATGTCAAATAATTCTTCATTAATAAATTTGATAGGAATCCAAGCTCACAAAAAATAGGAGCCCTCCAAATCCTCCTTTCATTTTAGCCTAGGTAATTACAAAGATTATTGTTAATATAGTTCAAATCATAATTAAAGCTTTTGTAAGAGTTTATCATTAATCAACGTACTTCGTTAATTTACTTTAAAATAGGGATTAAAGTTTGCAAGTCTTCTCATTAATTGGTTCAAAGTTGTTTTTATATTATGTTTTTTTAAAGTTGCTGTTCATTAATACCATCCTAAATGTTTCTTTATATTAATTCTAGAGGTCATGTTTATTTTTTCATAATGTTCAAATGTTTCATAGTAATTTTAAATAAATAAAAACTTATTTAGATGTATGCTTAGCTTTATTAGTGTAAGACTTGATAATGGCTCATGTGAATAGTCGAAAATGCTGGTTATATTTTCGATTAAGTTTTATAGTTGGGTACTTCGTATATAGTTGTTGGACAAAACCCCAAGGTTCAGCATTGATGAAAGATGAAACTCGATTATCAATTCATTGCGTGGCCACAAATTTCTTAAAATGCGATAGAATCGAACCTACTTGATCAACCTATAAATATTTATCATGATAAAACCTTGATGAAAGACAAAACTCTTAACAGAAAATGAAAACTTTTGATGAAGAATTAAACTTCTTGTGGATAATGAAAAGGCCAACATTACAAAAGATAGAGTTTTAGTTTTGTCTTGCCATCACGCAAAGGGGTTTTATCTGTCTATATTTCAGTATCCATTATGAATTTAAATGAAAGGCCAACCATAACATTTCTAATTGTGTTTCTTGAGAATGTTTTTTTTATGAACATCCATATATTAAGTAAATCCTGATCTTCAGATATTTTTGGATCAATGTTATCTAAATGAATTTCAATTTTCAACCAACTATTTTATTTCACAGATAGATTTTACCAGCCAAAAAAAATTTAGTCTCATGATAATACAGGAACTAGTTTTTCTTATAATCCTTGGAAATTCGCACTTGTTATTATAATTTTTGCTGATTTGTTCTGTGGCTGGTAGAGCCTTACTTGGAATCTATTTGGCAGTACATAATTGAGTATTGCAAAACGAAGATTGAATAATTTTGAAACATTTCTCTTGACTGAGTGTAGACTGATCTCATGTGTGCAACTAACCTTATTGAAATTTTGTGCTAACATTTTTACTTAGAGATTGAAACTACATACTGTCAACCCTTCATAAATATATATCGGAGAAATGTGCACTTATAGAAATGTACACTTATAGAGAAAAAAAGATGTAAGTTCAAACTTTAATAAAATTTTCGGATCATTTTTTATTGTACTGATCAAATAATGTGCACTTATAGAGGAGAAGTTGTGACAAGGTGCGCTTATAGAGTATACACTTATGAAGGGTTGGCTATAAGTCACCTATGATTTATCTGATTTTTTTGCATGAAATCTACTTTTCTTGTGAAATTTGGTATAAAAATAAATCGTAAGTTTGAATTCTAATCTAATACATCAAATTAGTCATTGAAATAGTTTAGAAATTTGATTGAAATGAGAAGCATAAAGTATCTAAGTTCATGGATGTCATGTTAATTTAGTTTGTAATTATTACAATAAAGAACATTTATTAATCGAGATAAGGTATGCCATTCAAATTCTTTGATATTTAACATTACCCAACTCCTTTTACTTAATTCTACCTTATTTATTCATGCAGATTTAGATTTATTAATTGATGTATTTAAGGGAAGTTATTCGAATTTATGAATTTTTACTTTATACATTTTTCCTATTTAATTCCATGTTATTCACTTTTAGTCGATAAGTATAAGGAACATTTATTAACCAGTATATTTAAAGTATGCTATTTAAGTTCATGACTATTATCATTACTCAATCTTTTTCTTTTAATTCTATATTATTTATTCATGTCAATTTAGATTGATTGATAAAAGAAGTTATTTATGTTCATGAATTTTAATTCCATTCATTCACATTTAGTTGATAACATTTATTAATCGATGTATTTAAAGTATGCTATTCAAGTTCATAACTTTTACTATTACATATTTCTCTTATTTATGCTTATCATATTAATTTACTTCTGTTGCATTAGTATTTAAGGTATTTTATTTAGGTTCTTGATATTGTCATCATCAAATGGAAGAGCTTCCAACAACCATGCTGAGTTTAACTCTGATGGTTGATATAAGAGAGATGCAGTGCATGATGACAAATTAAGGAATTCGGATTTTACATGATTAGTAGGCATTTATTATATAAAAGAATATAGGTTTATGTATTCTTTATTTAGAGACAATTTCAGAGAGCATTCTTCCTTCCTGAGTTAAAGGTCAGAGCAACCCTTTAAATACATTCTCATTTCTTATGATGTCTATGCTAAGAATATAGCATCTATGTTCTAACTCTGAATCACATGCTTTCTCACAGGCAACTCATTCTATCAAGTTTATGCGAGAGCGTATATGCTTCAAATATCGACTAGGGAAATTCACATGGGTTAAACCACTAAGAAGATTAACATGGCTATGACGATACATATATGAAAGGTATGTAACAACTTAATAAATTAGACAAATACAAAGTAAGAAAAATTGTCACAATATTACTATTATAATGTTTCATTTAATTATACAGTATTTTACTTCATTTAATTTAGTTTTGTGGCATGAAAAAGTTTTATTAATCGATGTATTCAAGTTACAGTCAGACCTCTCTAAATGCATTCTATAAAATCCAAACTTAAACAATACGCCTTTAGAAACAATAAGAAAAAGTGCATTTGTAGGGGTCAAGTATATATTTAGGTTAAAATTTGAATGCATTTAGAAAGAGCATTTAAAGAGATTTCAGTGTATTTGGATTTATCGTTTATATCACATTTACTAATTCCATTTTATCTATGCAAATTTAGTCGATGATTATAAAAACATTATTATTCGTTAATATTTATCATTATACAATGTCTTATTCAACTTCATTTTATTCATGATAAATTTAGCTATTAAATATGAATACTATTCAATGAACTTTATATCAGATTAATCAGTATAGTGAATTTTTGGATGCAACAAAAAAAAACTCCAGATCTCAGGTATTTAAATTTCTTGCTAACTTAAAAATCTGAAAATTTTGATTTATTAGTTATGTAATAATTGTTGAAGAAACTTATCATGACTAGTAGTACACGTGCCTTAATTATATATTAACGGAAATAAACTTAAAGCCTGAAGTCCAATTTTCTCGAGTTCTTATTTATTGATTGTGTATTATATACTTGTGATCTGAAATTTGAATATTAAAAAACTGAAACCTTTCAGAAAAAGAAAAATAGTTTCAAGTTGCAAGTATAGTGTAATGTTTCTAAAATAGGCTTTGACTGTTGTTTTTTTATATTTTTCATTCTTTTTTTGTTTTGTTTCATCAAATT